GTGTGTGTGTGTGTGCTTGCGCCTGTAGATGTGTGCGTGCGCCTGTAGATGTGTGCATGTGTCTGTAGATGTGTGTTGCTGTTATACTGTGTGCGCTTAAAGAGCCTGCCGCTCCTTCTGTGTATACGTGGTTTCTTCTTTTGTGTGTGTGTGTGTGTGTGTGTGTGTGTGAGTGTGTGTGTGTGAGGAGTTGGGGATACATGTTGGGGGGATGGGCGCCTCAGGTTTGGTACACAGGGTTTCCTACTTTGTCTGGCAGGGACTAGCCGGACAGGGGGAGGAGGGGGGAGGGGGTTGAGAGGTTAACAGAAAAGGGGTGTGGCTTAAGGTACCGTCCCTCTCACTATCTCTCTTTGAGTCTCTCTCTTTCCCTCTCCCCTGTGCCCTCACTGACAGGGTTTCCTGTGGCTGAGTGCAGGGGCGGAGTCCACGGAGATGAAGCGAAATAGTCCCTCCCCTCCAGCTTGCAACAAATTACTCACCCGCCTGAAATTAGGAATGCGCATTCTAGTGGCCGAACACACACACATGAACACACGCAGACAACTGTATATGGCTTAATTTGTTCTCATCTCTTACTTACTGGAAACATGGTTGGCACATGGGTTTGCTAATTGAAAAAAATCCCATTGCTTTACAGTAAGTCCACTAACAACTGTGGGCATTGTTCGTAATTAAGTCCGCAGTTTAAATTCAGTACATTTCTTCTTGAAAACTCAATTCTAAAAAGCACAGTAGGAAGCATTTCGGAGCACTTTTCTCTCACCTGCTCATATGAACCTTTGAACTCTTTAAAAGTGCTATACAGAGGGTTAACGAGGTAAAGTAAGAAATTAACCTAGAGGACAAAAACAGTAGAAAGGAAAGAAAGAAAATAATAAAGTCATTACATATAAACGGCTCTATAAACGTAGTAATCTGAAACTTCAGGTTGTGTTCAGACTAGCGATCGACCGATGATTGTTCTGGCTGATTTTTAAGGCCGATATTTTGTAGGTGATATTTTTATGTTTATTGAACAACTATTTCTACATAAATGAAATGGCTCCTTGCGCTCTGATGCAGCTGCATCTCTCTCTGTCTGTCCTATGCAGTCACTCCAGCAGTATGTACTTGGTTACATGTCACAAGTAACAGCAAATACACTGGAAGCTATTGTTTACACAGAGGGACAGACAAGAGCATTTGCAGAGAGGAGAAGCTCCGGTAGTGAGCAGAGCTGTGTTTGAAAGGTGTGGTTGCACATACTGCTGAAGTTGGAATAAACATTGCAGTCTCCCACAAGCCTTTCCTGTTACGCAGAAAAGGCCTTAATAATTCCCTTGTTGATTCAATTTCAATTTCAATTCAATTTTGTTTGTATTGGGCAGTTTACACCATATGCCATCACACAGCGCTTAACATGTTAAGGTATAGATGTTACAAATTTAAATAGAGAACCCAACAGTCCAAAGTTGTGTTTGGACTCCCTCTGAGTTAGCGGCTAGCAACAGTGGTTGATGTTAACAAGAAATGCAAATGAAACTTATTTTCCAGACGGTGCTATGTGAATGTATCACTGCTACGAGGTTTGCTGTGCCTCTTACACTGCAGCTAATGCTATCCAGAGTACCATAAAATCTTTGCAAAGTAAGATTAACTTTACCAATCTGTTCTGACAGCCATGTCTCTTTAGCAGAGACACAACCCACAAAAACTGAAGCACAGCTGTCACCATTATCAGGACATTAGTTGATTTCACCGTGTCTGAGGCTATGTTAATAGATAACAGCTAAGTTAGGAGGCAGCTTCAGATTATCCCATAACAGTGTCTGGAAAACAATAAGAAATAATGCTTTATATATGGTCCTTAGTGGGCAATAAAAGTGATAAAACAGAAACATTTCGAAAACAGAGAGGATCAAAATATCGGTTGGTTCCTAGTTTAGATCCCTAGTGCTTATTCTTTACCATGTACTATTGAAAGAAGATATAGGTGGATGATACACTCAATGAAACCAGCATTAGTATTGGTATAATTAAATCAAACATCAGTGTTTGTCATCTGCCCAAAATGAACACTGACAAGCAGATAACCCCTGTGAGTCTAAATAACAGTTTGTTTTGAAAATGTTACATAAAAGTAAATATGACATGTTTTACATACAGATTGAAGTAGTGTTTTTATTTTGCCCAGTGAATGTTTTCATTTTTAAAAGGCCTGTATTTTATTGTCTGTACCTGCCAGTGGGCTGTCATGATAACAGTAGGCATAGTAACATGATAGTTCCACCACAGAAGAAGCCTGATATTGTCTGCAATTAGGTGGAAAAACATATATATGCACACATGTCTGCATCAATGATTGGACAAAATTAATTGAAAAATATTGGTGTATCTGTAAAAATCCAGCATTGTGCATCCCTAACACAAATGATACACCAGGAGTGGCAATTGAATAAATACCACACAGTACATACATAGTGTCCATGTGACTCTGCCACTCATTCAGAAATGGTTTCACTCACTTCTGTCTGTCCCTCTCATTCTTGTTAATGTGATATATATCAGCAATGCCTGGAGGACATATCTTCAAATTTGGCACAAGGCTTTGCTTGGACTAAGGTCAAAGGGCCAGTGTGACTTCACAAACACCTTTTGGACATATTTTAAAAATGCATATTCTAATTATAACCAGATTTTACACACATGTCTTAATAGGAGACATTATGAAGCGTTGATATGTCATTTCCAAAAGGTCAAAGGTCAATTTCACTGTAACATCATGATGTTCTGCAAAAACATTTTCTGGCTTATATTTATCACATTAACTCGGAAACACAACGGACCATAGTAATGATGACGATATTAACATATGCTTATCATGATGACTTTGATTTTGCTAAAGTACGTTTTCTAAAATGTATTAAAAATCTTCACCACATATATCATATGAGTATGAACAGCCATGGATGTAACTTGTAACCATAAGGTTTTGGTTCTAGTTTGTCATAGTTTTTGTTAACAAAATGAACACTGAATTACTCTCACTTTCTTAACTTTTCATAGATGTAAAATTCTGTTTCATGATATTTTACATAGTACGGTACTCATCCTGTGCTTTGCGTACTGAATCATGTCATCCTACCTGAATACAACACTGCCATGTCAACACAGCATCCTTGCATTTTTTTTTTTTTAAATACAGGGCCGTTTGTGATCAGGCTCTGCATCTCTTTACACCTCATTAGTAAAGAATGTAGTGCAAATGACAGGGATTGGGACCTATAAAGAAATATCTAAAGTGAAGCTGAGATAAGCCTGCCAACTGCTAAAATGTTCACAGTGACAGGATCCATATTTTTTGCAAAAATCTGCAGAGCTATTACTAATGTCTACAGTAGCAACTGCTGCTTGGGGCCAGCAGACACTGGTGGGGGCTCTGTATGAACACTGTGGGTGTTAGTAAGACATGGTTTGACTTGACACCTTCATTTGACCTCCTTACATTACATTAAGTGCAGCTGTAAAAAAAAATTGATCCATGTTTTACTCATGGGTTGAAGATTAGTTCTAAATCTCTAATAATGGAGGAGGTACTTGAATTTTGTATGCTCTCATGTAGTGTGTGACATTGTATGATGTTTGTCATGTTGCTATAAAAGCAGTGCTGATGATGATGTGTTTGTGTTTGTAGGAGAATTTGAGGAGGAGTCGAAGCAGCCGACACTGTCTGAACAACAGAAACACCAGCTCAAACACAGAGAACTCTTCCTGTCTCGACAATTTGAATCTCTACCTGCTACTCACATACGGTATGTGTTTACTAGCAGGAGCTTCTGACAGAGCTGCAGTTAAGTTGGAACCCAGACACCTGCCATGCACAGTTAGGACTGAACTGCAGAGGAAATGGTCCTTGCCGCAGCTATTCTTAGTCATTAAGGCAGTGATATGTTCTGCCCCTGCACAGGCCATCTCTTTTTATTTCCTTTTTAGAAAGAATTGTTGCTCATCTTGTATCCATTAGCTTTTGATGAATGAATATTCAAGTGATAGAATCACAGCGAATAAAACAGATGTCCAAGTAAAGTAGACTAAGTCACTTCTTTACCCCAACACTAGGTTTAACTTGAACCAAAAGCAGCTCGACCAGTGAGGGCTGTCGACATTTTTGTTGTGTGTAACTTATTCCTTTAAATACAAAGAAGAGATGTGCCAACTCTCCTGTTAAAAACATTTGATGTGCTGAGTCAGTGATATTACAGTAAATTAAGATAGAACATTTTATAACATTACCGTGTAGTTTGTAGTTGACTTACTACATGTGAGTGAGATTAAAGGAATCTGACTCTGCAGTTACAAAAACACACACATATATGTGTGTGCGTGTGTGTGTTTATAACACAGGATTTTTTCTGTGTTCGTTAGTCCCTTGTATCAAACCTGGTTCACATTGGGGCAGCCGTAAGTTAGAGTAACAGTTAAGTTTTAAATGCAACAGACTGGCATGTACACATTTGTCTTTAAACTGCCATTGTATTGATGTTCTAAAAGTTTCTTTGTCTCTACATACCAAAAATGTAGTTTACAGGCTACATCAGCATAGTGGTTGTACTGTGTTTGGCAGTGATCTTTTTTATCAAATGTTATTTTCTATTCCAAGACGGTGGATAGTTTTTACATCTTTCACTTAGACATTTTTTCCTCACTGTCTCCTTAGGGGGAAATGTAACGTCACTCTTCTCAATGAAACCGATGTTTTGGCTGGATACCTGGAGAAAGAGGTAAGACACCGCCTGTTCATTTGTCATTACTGTGGTGCCTATTTATTATCTTTCACGTATTTGACCTTAAAAAAAGTGTGAACAGTGTGAAGGCTGTTGGAGCACAAATCACTGGGGAAGCAGCTGTAACTTTTGTTGTGTTCTGTCTAGGACTGTTTCTTCTACTCGTTGGTGTTCGACCCTGTCCAGAAGACCCTCCTGGCAGACCAGGGTGAGATCCGAGTCGGCTCCAAGTACCAGGCTGAAATTCCTGACAAGCTAGCTGAGGGTGAGCAGCACACTAAAAACTGGAAACCTGGCAAACAAAATAAATCAGAAACTGTAAGGAGTTCACCTTCCTAAGTGCCCAGTAGCAGATGTTGTATCCAATTCCTCTGTGTTGCAGGTGAATCAGACAACAGGATCCAGGAAAAGCTGGAAACTAAGGTGTGGGACCCCAACAACCAGCTCAAAGACCCTCAGATCGACCAGTTCCTGGTGGTGGCAAGGTAATGCTTGTCTGCCATCTGTCACCCAGCCTGCATCATCATCACTAGATCTTGTTGCTATGGCAACCTCTGAATCTACCATCAGCAGGACAGCTTTTCTGGAGAAAATGCATAAATTGCAGCCACTATGATAATTTCCAATAGTAGGAAACTGTTTTCTGCTGGTTGTTACATGTATAGTCAGCTTCAAGAGCTTAATCTGTAATTATAAGACTGTAATTGTTAAGAAGTTGAACTGTCACTGATGTTACGCTGAGTTGTGACTTGGACATAATGGTGGTGTTGGTTTTCATACAACACATCAACATAACATTAGAATATGTATTGAACACTTAGTTGTGGTAATAGGTGGTATTGTACTGCCTCAGTGGAATTTATTTGGCTGATACTGTGGGTCATTTTAAATTTTTTAATTTTAAAATTTAAAAAAAAAAAAAGAAAACTATGTAAAGTTTGCTTTTGGAGGGAATTGCCCTGCTCTGAATGAATTAGCCCAAACACTCCCTCTAGTGGTAATTTCATGAAACATTACCACATTGTACACATACCTATATTAATGGTGTAAATGTTTCCTAGTTTTTAATCGAGGATTGATTTATTCCCGGTTGTTGCTTGTTTGTTTTAGAGCTGTGGGGACGTTTGCTCGGGCCCTGGACTGCAGCAGCTCCATCCGTCAGCCCAGCCTTCACATGAGTGCAGCTGCAGCCTCCAGAGACATCACACTGGTGAGACAGTCATACTGAAAACAATTTAAACCAAGCCTTTGAATTTAAAACCATTGTGTTTATGTGTGTGTATTATTGTCTTTTAGTTTCAGTTCAGTTGCATTTGATTTATATAGCCAAATCACAACATAAGTCATCTATGGACACTGTAAATAGTAAGGTCAAGACCTTACAGTCTTGCAGAGAGGAATCTATAAATGTCCCCTTGAGCAGCCTTGACAGGTTGGGGTGAGGGGAGAGCGCAGAGGGAAAAGACAAGCATTGAGAATCAACAAACACTGGACAGCTTGATGAGACCAGTAACAGATCAGAAACATGCAGCTCTGGAGGCAGGGACCCTGTCATATTGAGATTAAGAAGAGTTGAAGAAAGATGCATCATCCGAACCATCCCTGAGCAACCTAGGCCTATAGCAGCATGCTCAGGGGTGGTTCGGGGTTACCTGAGTCAGCCCTAACTGTAAGCTTTTTCAAAAAGCAAGTTTTAAGCCTAATCTTAAAATTAGAGAAGGTGTTTGCCTCTTAAACCCAAGCTGTCAGCGAGTTTTACAGCAGAGGACCCTGATAGCCGAGGGTCCTGCATCCCATTCTACTTTTGGAAACTTCAGAAACCAAAAGTAAGCCTGAGTTCTGAAAGCAAAGTGTTTTATTGGGATATTATGGTACTATGAGGACTTTAAGATATGATGGAACTTAGCCATGACTGACTTTGGGAGGAGGATTTTAAATTCTGTTCTGTTTTACAGGGAGCTAATGAGGGGAAGTGAATATGGAAATGTAGAAATGTGATCTCTTGTAGTTTTTGTCAGTACTCCGGTTGTAGCATTTTGAATGAGCTGGTGGGCTTTCAGAGAGTTAGTAAGATTTTCTGATAAATACAGATATCTTGTTAAGACCCAAATGTGACAAGAGTTTATGTTTAGCTTTTGTTTGGGATTTCATTATTAGGTGAATGTTCTGGTGATACACTTTGTGAATTTTTCAATCTTTACTGACACAGCTTAGGTTTGAGTATACAACTGTTATTTGATGTTGCATTTTATGAAGCCTCGTCCTATTTGATTCTGTCCTTATCCACTCTGTATTAAAGGGGCATTAAGAAGCAGAAGTGTCTACACATCATTAGTGTCTTGTTACCACGTGCAATAGCTAAAATATATGGTTGTTGTAAACAAAAATATAAATGCAAATTGCATTGTCTTATTTTTTGACTTAAAGAAAAAGCTGAAAACCTTATTTCCATAGCTCTGGTAAGAAAAGGGTTCGATTTTTTGAGCTGTTCAGCTGGTGACAAATTTTTGAGCATTGATTTTATCCACACCCTAGTCAGGTGTGGCTTTAAAGGGACAGTGATTAGATAGCCTGACTGGTACACAGTCACTTCTTTGACCAGTGGCTATAAATGGCCACCTTAAAATGCTGCTTTATTTTCATGCTACATGTGACAAGAGAAGGACTAGAAGAGGCTATTCACACACTTGACACTGGCATGTCACTTAGGAACATAGGCAGTCACTTGAATACCCACGAGTGTACCATTTGTTGCCCTGTCTTACAAAATATGGAATTTCCTGCTGAGAAGAACTGACCTGTGATGATAACATTTGATTGAATATTTCACCACTTGTCTCTACCTTCTCTCTACTTTCAGTTCCATGCTATGGACACATTGCAGAAGAACAACTATGACCTGGCCAAAGCCATGTCCACCCTGGTTCCTCAGGGCGGTCCAGTGCTCTGCCGTGATGAGATGGAAGAGTGGAGTGCCTCTGAGGCTATGCTGTTTGAAGAGGCTCTGGAAAAATATGGCAAAGACTTTAACGATATCCGCCAAGACTTTGTAAGCTCCCCCTCTCTTAGACCTCTTAAAGTATAAATGTGGAGGTGTAATGATGATATTGATGTCAAATTCAAGATTTTCACTGTTAAAACTATACTATGTGTATCCTGCTTAGTAGATGTTTTCTGTCTTTCTTTTAGCTGCCCTGGAAGTCGCTAGCCAGCGTTGTCCAGTTCTATTACATGTGGAAGACTACGGACCGCTACATCCAACAGGTTTATCTACATCGAGCAACACCACACCAAAAAGCACTGTTAGATTAGTTTTGTATGCATGTTTCTATCAAGATTCTCACAAACTTCAAACATGTTCTCCCAGAAACGACTAAAGGCAGCAGAGGCAGATAGCAAACTGAAGCAGGTGTACATCCCCACCTAGTGAGTATTATTGTCAACTACTACACAGCAAAACTTCCTCAGTTAAAACTGCCATGATAATAACTCCCTTTCATCTCCTCACTCACCTCTCTTCACCAGCACCAAACCCAACCCCAATCAGATCATGGTGCCAGGCAGCAAGCCTGGAATGAACGGGGCAGCAGGCTTTCAGAAAGGACTCAGCTGTGAGAGCTGCCATAGTAAGTACACACTGTCAGAACCTGAACTACAGTTGAGCGTACACTTGTGAGTTGCAAAAAAAAAATAAAAATCACACTGGACTTTTTTGTGTCTGCAACATTACAGACCAAAACCTTTTGAAAACAAAATAATGAAAATACTGAAATATTACACTAGACTGCATTATACTGACCAGTCACCATTCTGGTTGTCTTTTGTTGCTACCCAGGCCCCATCATGTAGTGGCATTTTAGAGGAGGAATATGTTAAGTACAGCTAAAGCTCAAAAGCTGCATTGTAGCTCCTTAACACACAACTCTAACTTCAGCATCAATGGTGCCATTAAAAACAGTGTTTTTTATGGTTTTTATTTTATTGTCAAAGACTGGAACTTTAGTACAAGTTTTGATCATATATGGCACACAACAGTTCATGTAATCACATGAATGTAAATGCATACGTTTCATGACCAGTAGTGCACAGACACTATGTTCTAAATAACAGTGAATTGTAAACAGTTCAGCCACTGCGGCTATTGGCTGATACTGGAAGAGGTTACCTGTAGACAAGGACCGTTTGTGTTTGTGAGGTTTTACAGACCTATAAGGTACAATCAAAAATCTATGAGACCATTTTGTTATGCGCACACCAAGTGTGGTACGGTCATGTGGGTCACAGTTGTGAACGGTAACTGTCACGGATCAGGATTCCACGTGACATTGCACAGCCAGGTGACAATCATATTTTTTCTATGGACCTCAGACAGAGACCACCAAACACATTCTGTGTCAGTCAGAAGCCAGGGTGAGCCAGCCTTCATATTAAAAATCATCACTGGCGACTAGACATAACCAGAGGAATTCCAAAAGCAAGTCCTGAGCTGAATGTTTGATCTGTTTAGTCCATAAATAAGTGACATATCACCCTCCAGAGATGCTAACTCACTAATTCCTTTATCGTCTACCCAGCTGCCCAGTCTCCACAGTGGTATGCCTGGGGACCCCCAAACATGCAATGCAGACTGTGCGCCTCCTGCTGGATCTACTGGAAGAAGTACGGAGGTCTGAAGACCCCCACACAGCTAGAGGGTGCTGCTAGAGCTGGCTCTGTAAGTCTTTTTTTCAGTCTGATCTTAGCAGGGAAATCAACTGTAAGCTGTTCATGAATGTTGTTCACCAACTGATCTGTCTCAAGGTGTGTTGCATTTCATGAAAGGCCTCCTCATAGCATCCCTTCTTTCTGTCTGTCCAGGAATCAGGCCCCCGCAGTCACATGACACGCCAGGAGGTCCAGGGCATGTCACCATTTACCCGCAACGAGGGTCGAGCCAAGCTGCTGGCCAAGAATCGCCAGACCTTCATCCTGCAGACCACCAAGCTGACCCGCATCGCCCGGCGGGTGTGTGAGGATATCCTGCAGCCGCGGCGTGCAGCACGACGGCCCTACGCCTCGATCAATGCCAACGCTGTCAAGGCTGAGTGTATGAACACACACATCAACAATACTCGCAAATGAATTTCCTGATTATTGCCTGTTACTTATGAGGTTCAACATGAAGCTGTTTATGTGATGATCATATGTACATTCTACATTCTGAAAGCCTTCCAAGCTCATTTTAATGTGTTAAGTCAAGGTGTAAGAAGCTCAATATGACATACTATAGTTTTAAACATTAATTGATGCTTTCAAAATTTCAGTGCTTTAACTAACAGCTGAATAAAAACTGATTATGGTCTAAGCACACATATTTGACTTGATAAATCTGTTTAAATCTGTTTCTTCAGGTATGATCAGGCTGCCCAAAGCCACAAAAACTCCTCTAAAGAGCAAACTGGTGCCTCGACAGACACTGGACAACATAGTGAAGGATTTAGGTAAGGACACATGTGGCCAACACTCCTCTGCAACGCCGTAAATGCCAAACAGCTCCAAATTAATGTTGAGTATATACAGGCTTCAATTACCTCACACAGCACACAGATCTAGATAACTATATTACCTATATTGTAGTTGACAGTGTTCCTATGAAGGCACTGAGTAGGTGAATGGAACAGGTGCAGCTGATTCAGTGTCATCTCTCTGGTTCTCATATCTTTACAATGGCTTCCTGTTTGTCAAAGAACTGACTTTGAAATTCTGCGACTGGTTGATAAAGCACAAAATGATGGATTTGGTGTTCTGCTGCTGTGTTATGACTCGACCAGACCTCTCAGGTGGTTGTCTAGGACAAGTCTGTTTACTGTTCCTCCATTGAAAATGGAGAGGCGCCTTTCAGTTTTAAAGCTAAATCTGAGCAACATTCCAGAATACTCGAGGTCTGCTTCAGCCTGCTATTCTTGTATTCTTCTTTGGGATTAAGACTTTTCTTTTTGCCACAGGCATTTATTGTCTCATAAATAAATGATTAAATTACATTTTGGACAATACATTAATATCCTACACTGTACTGTATCTGCACTGTAATTTTTATTTTCCTGTTTCATGTTATATTCCATTTCACAGTTTTTCAATCTTGTGCTTTTCTTGTTTAAAATCTCTGTGTGCTGCTTTTTGTATTTCTTTTATATCTTGTCTTAAAGCCTTTTGTGTCTTATATGAAGCACTTTCTTTTTTTTGAAAAATGCTGTACAGACAAGGTGAACTTTCCTCGCTGCTTTTGCCCCGTCTGAATGTTTGGGTGTTGTCTCTGCAGCCATTTCAGCTCCTCTGAAACTGAAGGCGTCCAGAGGACCCCCGACACCTATCAACAGGAACCAGGCCAGCCAGCCTCGAGTGGGCCAAAGCCTGTTGGGAAAGAGAGGCTTTGACAGCGTTAGTGTTCCTTACACACACACACACACACACACACACACACACACACACCAAACAGTACATATGCAGAATGATTGGATTCTTATTTAAGAAAATATTCTTATTTAGACTCCAGTACAAAACTAACAACCACAACATACAGAATCGGCTGCTGCCAACCAACTGTCAATGTTTCCATTATTTCTCTCACAGTTAGACCAGTGACTTTACTACTCATCTTACTACTTACTTCAACTTTATTAAATCCATTTTGGAATGTTTCCTCTGTTGGACAACCTACAGTGTAAATCCAAAAATTTTGGAGAGAGAGGGGATCCAAAAATGATTCGCTGCTGGAATCAAACCAGAAACAGATCACCAGACTCCAACTAGAGTTACTTTTGTCTTCCCTCTCTTTGATCTCCAATTGACATTTGTCTGTTCGCACAAACAAACCTGAAGTGACACTGATTATGGTATTCAACTTGCGCCATCTGATGTCATGCCAAAATAAATTTTTTTTCTACTGCACAAGTGGGCCATGTGTTGTCCTTACAAACACTCTACTTTTAACTCCAGTTAAACAACTTCATGACCAACTATCAGACTGAGGTGGCTACACATTTATTCTGATTTAAAAATGGTTCTGAATGACTGCATGATACGCTTATCAGCGCATGCTTTTTGCTTCATTATGGTGGATTTACTGTCTCATTCTTTTATTGGTTCACAGACTACAGGTGTGCCATACCCAGCCAATGGGAGGCCATATACTTCAGGTATGAGGACCACCTCCCAGTCGGTCATCAAGAGGCAGAAGGTCAGCCAGGGTGAAGCCCCCAACCCTGTGGTGTTTGTTGCCACAAAGGACACCAGGTACATGTCACTGCAGCAAAATCAACTTGTTTTGCCACCTTCACAGCCTCTGTCAGTACTGAATGTGTTTTTGTGTGTGACAGATCAATGTAAATGTAGGGAACAGTCCTATCAAATCTTAGGTAGACATTTAAATGTCTATGTAATAGGGGTGTTAATGAGTATTTTTTAATTAATTAATTGCCATTAATAATTGAACCGATTAAAAATACTTCTACTGATAAGGCAGAAGATGATGGACACGCATGTCAGTCGTAGACTTAAAGGTATGTCAGCTGACTGCTTATAGGGGACCATAAACCCAGCGAAACTCCATGCTATGACACTGCCAGCTGTGGCAGTCATGCTCATGAACTCTGCAGCATCAAGTTTGAAAAATGTGTCTGGGAGCTGTCTGGCTTAGCTAGCTACCTGAGGCTAAATACTACTGCTAATCTTGGATTTTCAAACACTAACTCATCCTAGGAGTGTCTGTCAACACGTCAGCAGTTAACACTGCTACCTTGAACAGGCAGTTGGTTTCATGTTTCCAACAACACCAATCTTAAGTAATGAAGTGTGTTGGCAATGCACTGCTTTAATGATAAATACATTTTAGAGGTGGCAGTAAATGGTGACATTTCCTGAACTGATAAAGTTGCTACAACAGCATTTGTAGACATCTATTCCAGCTTAGCAGCTATTTCCAGCAGCTGGAGTAGCGTAACTAAAGTGAATAATTCACTCAATGTAGATTGGTAATGTGGCCAACTGTCAGTTTATAAATTGGTAGAATTTGCCAGAACTATTCAGGCAGAGCTCACAGTACTGTCAGCCAGGATGGCTGCATTAGCTGTTCTCATCAGGTTATACAGATAACATACTGCTGCACTACAAGTACTACTACCACTGCTATTACCACTAGCATCAGAAGTAATACCCTCTTACCAGTTAGTCTCACTTTGGCACAGCCAAATGCTTATGGAAACAAAAACAAAATTTAGAGCTACCTCAGAAGAATTCAAAACAACACGTGTTAGTTCTCACAGGAGGAAAACACAATATTAAACCTGAATTTAAATGGAACCTCAGCCCAACTGATGCAAGGGGTCATCAGAAATCTTGCTGTGGGGCCTATAGTGCAGGTTTTGATTTCTAGCTTAGTGTCAGATTTCACACTTGGATCAGCCCTATAACAATGAACTGATCAGGCCGTGTGATGCTTTATATTTTTCACTGTGACGGTGTTTACACTCTTTTACTTTGTTAGAAAGCGTGAAACAAAGGAGTTAAACAAACACCCAGGCTTGCTGTTACATTGGGGCAACCTTTAATGTTATTTTGCACGGTCTGTTACTGAATAGAAGATGACTGCTGTGCAGTCACTGCATTCCTGTTTGTTTATACAGAGTGATGGCCATGTTAACAGGTTTGCTTTGTTCGTGAATGTTTGTTATTGAAAAGGAGACAAACCCTGTGTCTTCTCTTGGTGGTGCCACTTTTGCTACGAAGCAAAAGGTGTTTAGCAGTAGGTAGAGATGTTTCAGAGACTCTCAGGGTTTTTATGACAAACCTCATAACTGCATTAGCTTGCTGATAAGGCAACAGGTATTTTTTTTTTAAAGTTTTTTTGGCCTTTGTTAGATAGCTTTAGTCAGAGAGAGACAGGAAGGTAGGGGAGAAGAATGGGGGGAGGACATGTGGGAAAGGGTCATGAGCGGGAATCGAACTCATGACCTCCACATTGGGACTGTAGCCCTGCACATGGGACGCCAGCTCAACCAGGTGAGCTATAGCGGCGCCCCCAGGTTGTTTTTTTTGTCTGCTCTGAATAGTGGGGGTGATTTGTTACTGTCCAAGTCTAGAAATTCAAAAACACAAGTTGACTAATTAGTTTTTTCAGCAGTGATTGGCTGCACCCACAAAGGTCAGCGCCAAGTTCAACTAATTTAAAGGTGCAGAGCTGTCACAGTGCACCAGATACATCATAAAACTATTTTCACGATAATGTGAATATACATCCATACATAAGTAGAAATCCAGCTGTAGCCCTAAGCATGAAAACACATTCATGTGTTTGGAACGCAATCTTGACTTGGGGTCCAACTTTAGGCTGCAGCTTACTGCTGTCATTTGCCGGTAATTGCTGATTGAAATATTATTTTTGCCATGTCTATTAACTGCAACAGTGGATGAAGATAAGCTTGTCATAGAGGTAAAATAACTCTTTGACTGAATAGGGCTTCAATATGTTTTTTTTTTTTTTTCTTGCTGTCTCTTTAAACTAGGGCTCTGAGGAAACATCTGACCCAGTCAGAGATGCGCCGGGCAGCAAGGAAACCTCATCTCCTGGTCCGGATCAAGCTGCCACCACCGCCCCGCTCCCTGGCCATGCCCCTCCTGCCCTCCAGCACCAGCGAACCCATTGTCCTGGAGGACTAAATAGGAGGGACGGGGGTCTTTTAACAGGACATAGGGGTGGGATGGGAGTTGGGGAGGGTCTGTGCTCAGGCCATCACTTACAGGCTGTATGCCATACAGTAGTCTTTTTTTTTTTTTTTCTGTTTTCAGTGTCATCTTTCTTTAGTCCTCTGTTACTTCCCAAAAGTTGACGTGTCTCTCACACACACACACACACAGACACACACGCATGCACGCACACGTACACATAAGCAAATTTTCATGCAAACACACATCAACGCACTTGGGCTTTGTAGTGTTTTATTCCAGACCCTGAATTACTTTACTCCCTTTTTAATGCCATCTGTTTTTAAACGTGTAATTTAAATCAAGATATTTTTCATCCTGAAACAACGGTGATAAAGCACACTTTGTTTTTACTCCACGTCTCTATCTTTGTGTAAATATATGCATCCTGTGTGGGACAGCTGTAGCAGGCTGAAGGTCTACTTTGGTTTGATTTGAAGAGTTCACTCTACAATCCTCTACTCCATTCCAGTGGTGCAATCTACCAGCTACTAATTGTAGCCAGTGGACCAGGGGCAGGGTGATTGGTCAAGTTGAGGAGACATATTTGCAGAACTGCCCTTATACAGTGTTAACGCAGAGTTTTATCCATCTACTGCCATTTTCGTTTTCTCTGAGATTACATCACTCACCAGGAGCAGACCTGACAGCCATTAATAAATCCTTCTCTATGAGGTTCATCCCGTTTGCACCCCCCTTACATCCTCCATTGTATGGAAGCCTATCCAAAAATATTCAGTGAGCACAAAACAAGTTGAGCTGTGTGAAAGTAGAGATTTGAGTGTGCAGAAACCATGTGTGAAAGTATAATGTTGAGTGTAATTTTTTTTTTTTGAAACTGGCAAGAGTTTGAGTCCATTTGAACAAGCAGTTGGGCTTTGTCTACTCACTATTGTCCAAGCTGCTTGCTTAGTTTTCACGTCCGATCAGACTGCATCACTATGTCAAAAGCTTAAACTGAGATAAATGCTGTCCAAACTGCCACATGCCTTTTTTAACCTTTCATTTAGTAACTGTTCTCAAACATTCAGATTTTACCTGAACAAGAGGAAAATGCAACAGATTTAAAAATGAGTGCACCTAAACCCCTCCCCTTTTTTTTTTTTTTACACTTTTTTTTTTATAGCTTAAAATTAATTGTAACCCTTGACCTACTTATCTTGATTCAATTGCCTCGTTTTGTTTTGTGCTCACGATATAGTTTGGAGACAAATAGACTTCCATACATTTCTGCCATCTAGAGGTGTCACAGTACACACAGTAAGAAACTGGACAGGGGTTAACCTTGGAGTCAAGCCCTATATAGTGTTTCCTTTGCTGTCTGTTTACTGGCACAGTGCTATTACAGTCACTTTTAGCCAGTTTGAAGAGAGAATAGTCAGGTTGCCATTCTCTTGACCACATCCTGCAATGTTAGAACAGGTAGTCTGGAAGCAAAGGAGAGATTCTCCTAATTTAAGGATTGTGGATATCATGGATTTGCACCAGTTGCTGTGTGACCTGCCATGATCAGAGAACACATCTGGTTTTGAGGTACTATGTTTAGATTCTGAAAAAGTCCAAAATGAAGCTATATTGTGCAAAATAAAGAAAAATAAAAGCTGATGTCCGTTGTGGGTAAACTCTGAACCCTTTGTTCTGTTAAAGCCACAACAATTCTGACAATGTACTGTTGGGCTGGTTTGAATGAAATTGACAGTTAATTTACTGGTCAGTTGATAAAAGTCTGTTAAATAAAGCAGCAATATGTAAATGTACGGAAGAGAATTAGGGCCAAACATTTTGCTCCAAAGTTATCATCTAAAAATGTGAAAACTTTTTCTTAATTTTTGATTATTTCACGTGGCCTTAATCCTCCTCTGTAAATGTGTGATGAAGCAGAACAGAAGCAATGTTCTTGATTGTGATTGGGTATGACAACGACGTGAAAGGAATCTTCCACTGTCTCAACTTGTTCTTTCATTTGCTTTGTTTATTTTAGTCCCCCTCCTCCCGTTTGTACTGTAATCAAAGGGTGAGTACTAAAAATAAGTTGTTAATTGGATAATTATAATTCCTGTGAATCCCCACAGCAGTGAGGGGTTGCACTGGTTTTATAAGCAAGTTTGGTCCCAATGTGGGCTTTGTAATATTTCTCAAACGAAAAAAAAGAAAAGAAATTGAAGTGTTGAGTTTGTAGCAAATACTAATGTGTGTAAAGAAAAGTGGCATATTGGAAACTTTTTTTTACATCTAAACTGTAATTTTGCTCCATTATCGTGGAGATGGCTCTAATATGCTACTGTACATGTGAAACATCTCTCCTTCATAGGGTGGGTGGGCTGGTCATTTCAACAGGGGAGACATTCAAAAGGGACAGGGTGCTGATTTTTGTATGATGGAGAGACAAACATGATACAATTGAAACTTTTTCTCAAGTGTTTTTTATTCCAATGTCTCTGTATCCTTTAATGTATCTTGATAAGAAAAGAAATAAAGATTTTTTTTTCTTCGTGGTCAGACACTGGCTTTTTCTCGACTGTTTCTCTTGGTGTTCGCCACATTGCTACCGCAGAGGAAGGTATCAAACCTCACTGTCATGTCAAACTACACGCCTCTCTGACACCAAATTCAAAATATCAGCCTGATAACAGCTTATTAGAACCTCCTTGAGGAATAACCAGTGGAACCTACCTTATTTAAACCTCTGACATCAAGATTCATCTTTATAGCTTCGGTGTGTGGTGGTGTCATCACGCAAAGATATAAAAAACCTCTCTAAGGCCTCTGAGACTGGCAAGAGCTTAAAAAGATCTCCAAATGATTAGAAATAAATTATGCTATAGTTGAGGAAAATCACCTTGAAGTGGTGCAGATTTCACACACATGCCATTTTTTCCAGGACTGTCCACAAATTCAGGGTAAGAGCAGACAGCGACAGCAGACGTTTAGTGTCTTATCCCAGATGTGCATTCTGCAAAACTTGCTGATTGAATAATCCTGAAGAAACGCTCATCCATCTTGCCTGTACTACTGCATATGTACAGCAACATGACAATAAACCTGATATGATTTTGATTTGATGATGATACAAAAACAAGTCTCTAAGAAGCCCCAAATTTCATCCCAGCATCTGTAGGTAGCTGCAACGTTTGGTGTTGATGAGCTGCATCTACAGTCAGAGAGCTTGTACAAGTCTGACTGGCATGGGAGGTATGCCAGGAAAATGCTTTTTCTGTCCAAAAAGAACATCAGAGTCACAATTTGTCAGTTAACATACAAGCAAAAAGAAGGCTCTTTGCAATAATATGCTCAATCAAAGATGGAGGTTGTTTTTTTGCCATAGTAACAGTTAACAAGTCCGGTGCAGCAACTGTGAAGCACGGTGGTGGATGTTCTGGTTTGGGATTGCTATGCTGCAGCACCTGAATTCTGCATCATATTAAAGAATGCTTGGAGATAATATCTGAATGTTGGAGTGACAGTCTCAAAGATTTTCCTTTACACACAGGGCCTGTATTATTCCATTATTCATCAAGTTATCTTTCTGCCAGAAACGGTAGGTGGAGCTAACTCAAAAGACCTCAACTCCACTGTGTGTGAAGTGGTTTAATTTCAATTCCGTTCCTCCATCCATCCATTATCTATACACCGCTTAATCCTCACGAGGGTCGCGGGGGGGGGGCTGGAGCCTATCCCAGCCAACTTAGGGCGAAGGCAGGGGACACCCTGGACAGGTCGCCAATCCATCGCAGGACCACACAACCAAGCACACTCACATTCACACCTACGGACAATTTAGAATCACCAATTAACCTCAGCATGTTTTTGGACTGTGTGGGAGG